GGCGGTCGCCAAGTCGTTTGGCCTCACGGTCCCGCCCAAGGTGACGCTGCCGGTCAAGACCAACGGCAAGGAAGGCAAGCGCAAGCGCGAAGACAAGTACAGCAAGAGCGGCCACGCGTTCAGCGCCGAAAACCCGTACGGGAAGCGCGCCAAGGACGACAAGCGCCAGTTTGCCCATTAGAAGACTAAATAATAATTGTATAATTTGTGACCGCACATGACGATAGCGTTTGCGTGGCCATAGCAGTGAGCCGGGTGTCCGACTTGCCAAAAAGCAATAAGGAGCACGACGTATTGCTCGATGAGCAGTATGAGGCGCACCGTGCTACTTATACTCTCGAGGTCAATGCATTGAGGTCAATGAGCCACTTACAAGCGAGACACCACGAGTAGCCTCGCTGGACGACGTCAAATTAGCCAAGGACTGCTACGCAGATTATAGACCTTAGTACCTAAACAGAGTAGAGTGTTCTGACATGCTGCTGCATTGAGGAAGCATCAAAACCGTGCTCGGGACCGAGATTCGGCGCCAGTATAAATTGCGCGTAGCAATCACGTCTTGTGTGTGGGAGGAGTTGATGTAGTGTCCTTTTCTTGAACGGGAACAGGACAATGAATGGACTGTCGACTCCATCGCGTTGTGACGACAAGGCGGCGACGACGACTTGGCAGTGTAGGAAGCCGTTTTCTCCAGCGTTGAGGTTGAAGTATAATCCTGAACCTTGATTTGGATATGGCAAACCAACACGATGGCCGACCATGAAGAGAGTACCGGAGACTGCTGGGACCGTAGCTGTGTCGAGGGTGGGCGAAATGTTCCCCTGTTGGTCAAACGTGCCAACGCTTTGATGCACGACCCGCTCGAGCGTCCGATTTCACTTCCAGTCGTAAGCTGGGACGCCGAGTTTTCGTGGCGGCGGTGGATGGAAGCCATCATGTCCATCGACACATGCAAATGTTCAAATAATACTTAGTTAATAGGTGCACGCAACATGACAGACGAGACGAACTATCCTTCCAAGCTGCGCGCGAGGCCGACGTAGAGCGCGAGCGTCCCGAGGTTCCCGACCGCATGCATGCCAATGTGCCAGAGGTACGAGATGCTCTTGTTCGGGCACGTGATCGATTTGAAGTAGCAAAAGACCGACTTGGCCATGAGCGCGTAGTAGAGGTACTGGTAAAACTGCACTTCACACGAGAGCGAGAGGTACATGTGGTACAAGAGGCCGCCCGCGACGGCCAGCATGTCCATGTTGCGTCGCCAGCCCATCGTCGGGTGGCGCCAGTAGTTGATGGACGTGAGCAGCACGAGCGTCGCGACAAGCGAGCAGCTCCAGAGGTCCTTCTTGGCGGCCGAGAAGGCCGAGAGCGCCGTCAAGCACGACGACTTGAGCAGTCGGGACGAGTACTGCGGCTGCGTCACGAGGTACTCGTACTCGCTGCTGCTGTAGTTGTGGCTCACCATCGGTCGTCTGAAATCGCAAAATGAGCACCGAGTGTGTCTCTACTTTGGCGTCGCGCGCGCCTTTTTGACCCGCTGGATTGAATTACCTCACCGCTCGTATACGGAGCGCGTCATATTTAATTACATGGCGTTGCACATGGTCGCTTTCTCGGCCGTTCCAAGCAATCAAAGGCGACGCGCACCCACCGAACGGCCCACTACGGACCTGTCGTCCTACGTCAACAATGCGCTTTCCCACGACTCGCACCAAACGAGTGATATCAAACTGTCATTGACTGCTTGTCCCCAAGTTGAATCGACCGAGAATCAAGGCAATGTATTCAGAGGAAGGACCACGAGGGACGATTTACCGAGGCCATCATTTCGCCGACGTGCACCGCGTTGTCACAGCGTTGGGTGGAGGCATAGATACGTGCACTTGTGGAATCGCAATCAACGGCACGGGGGCGTGGCCGTGGTTGAACCAAGCGCCTCGTACGCCATCGATGGCAGCGAATCGAGCAAGACGGAGCTGTCGAGCACCGCGACCTGCACTTGTGAACGCCGGTGATGAGTGGTCCAGGGGCAAAAATATTGGTCCATGGCACTGAGTCCATGGAACGACGACGATGGTGCGCTCGACACGAGCAAAGCGAGCTTGCGACACCGTAGTTGCAACGAGTTAGAATACATGTACACCACGGGGAGCTGTTGGTGGTGCATGGATTAACCCGTGCTCGGAGCTGCACGCAAGTGGCCGTTCAACGCGTCGTTGGCTGGTTGCGACCAGGAGAGCTACCAGGAGACGCTCTTGGTGCGTCATCTGGGTGAGCAGACACTTGTGAGAAATCAAGTTCATATCGCTGCTGGCGCCAAGTAATTGGCCAGGACGGGACACGAGCGCGACAAAAATGCTGCGGACGATCCGCGTCAGCGCGCGGTGCTATCCCCTTGCGTTGGTGCGCCAAAGCTCGTCGCAAGCGCTTCTCACGCTCGGCCACGTGGCAGCGCCTCTGCGCGTCCTCGTCGTCGGCGACGGCAACTTTTCCTACGCGCGGGCGCTCACATGTGCGACGAGCGCCACGATCCTCGCCACGTCGTACGACACGAGGAACGCCCTCGCGGCCATGTACCCGACCGCGCCAGCCAACATTGC